CCCTCCTCCCTCCCGTATCCACGTGTCTCCGCAGAGAACAAGGGCTCCTTCCGTCAGCCTTCGTCAAACACTCCTTCCTCTCCTTTCGCTGAGAAACCGAATGTGACTGGAAGTAACCCAGCTGCTGCCGCCACCGCAAAGGGCTGTCCAGGGTAGCCGCCTCCCATTGGCTGTGCCTCATGAGGAGATGTGGCAGCGGAGCCCCACCTCCCACAGGCTGCCAGGGCCTCGGGTCTGGGGCCCAGCCTTGTGGGCTGGCTCCTACCTGGGCGGCCTGTCCAGGTAAGGCAGGTTGTCCTGCCTTCCAGCCACCCCCACCCCACCACCATCTCCCTCCCATCCCCCTCCACGAATCCTCCCTCCCTCCCCACTCACCCTGCCCTGAAGCCTGGATCAAAGGCCCCAATCTGGGCCTTAGCCAGGGGCTGGTGCGTTTGTGGTGGGAGGGGGGCCTCGTGGGAAAGGAAGTTGTGGGGGTGGGGTGAGAGCTGTGGGAAGAGCTTTGAAGGCCGGAGACCAGGTATGGGCACCCCTGGGGCAGGAAGGCGCCCACTTGAGCCTGGATGGGCTGGAGATGAAAGGGGTATGTCCACCTCCCTCCCCCCACCAAGCAGGATGTCCTGGAGAGAACTAGAGCTCCAGCCTGGCAGCTGGTCCAGCGTCTCCCTTTGCTGTCTGATCTGTGGTACTACCTCCCCCCACTTCGCTGTATAGCCTGAGGCTAAGTAGTGTAGGCTTTGTATCAAGGGAAAAGGTAGTTTACATCATCCAAGGGGCCAGAGGTTACGGGTCTGCTAATCCCATTCTTGGTATTACTCTCCAAACCCTTGACTGCCAGGAGCTACTCTGAAAGGGTGCCAAATTATATATTACTTAATATGCCCAAGCACTATTCTAAGTACTTTACACATTAAAAAAATTTGTAATCCTCGCCATAAACCCAAAAGATAGGCATAATTATTATCGCCATTTTGCAGATGAAGAAACTTGAGGCTCAGGGATGTTAAGCGATTTGCCCAAGGTTGCACAGCTGTGAGTGCTGAAACCGAGGCAGGCTGGCTTCAGAGTGTAACCTTTCAACCATCATGCAGCACTATCTCTGCCACTATGGGAAATGACTGAGGGGAAGAAGTTAGAATTCCAACTTCGCCGGAGGGACTGGACCTCGGGGAACAATGGGGCCTGAGGTAGGGGAAGCTGCTCAGTCTGACAGTTTAGCCAGCCTGGGGACAAACTGGCTGGGCATCCCATTGCCCATTGCCCAGGGCAGCTGGGGCCTCGGCTGGGTTTCAACATTCGGGTTTTTGCGTCATTTCTTCTCCTCACCCCCCCAGCCTGTGACAAGCCAGATGGAAGTTTCAAGAGTTAGTGGACAGGCCTGAAGCCCTGTCTTCTACCACCTCAAAGGAGCTTCTTCTACTCACCAGGGCATGAGGCGGCCGAGGCGGGTCCAGGAAGATTTGCTAATGCAGAAGCCCACCAGGGGGTCTGTGAAGGCATCCCAAGCTCGGCCTACAAACAGGATGATGGAGGCAGAGAACGGGTCCACCTAGGATGGGGAACAGGTGAAAGGTGACCCCTTTATCCTTCTACTCATCTCAACCCTCAATGGTAGGCAAAAGCTGGGGCTCCCTCCCCACCTCAGCCAGGCCCTTGGGACCCTGGGCTGCTCTCACTCAGGCCTTCATCATCTCCTCTTGCCTTGTTCAAAATGATAACAGTTCCCTGATAGCAGTCAGTGCAGGGTGTGCCTTAGAAATTTTCCCAGATCTGCTCCCTTACGTACTCCCTTCCACTGCCCTTGAAAACACTCCCGTCGACTAGAATAAATACTGAATCACTGAACTCCAGCCACCTAATACCAGAATGAGCCTTTGCTGGGTGACCACATGGGCCTCAATTTCCCCATCTGTATAATGGGAATTATGATCCCTATCTTCCAGGACTGGAGTTTAAGATCCCTGTCTTACAGGTCAAGTTCTATCTTGGATGTGGAAAAGGAATCTTTAGATGCTTTTAAAAAGTGGCCTGTCACTATTCACTGAAGCTGTCCCCCTCCCCGCAAACCTTTTAGGCCTAAATAGACAGTTTCTCTGGACTCTTCCTTATATCTGTCAAGGCTCTACTAGGTTGCTTTTGCTCCAGGAAATAGGGAAACGGGTAGCCTCTATCACACTGTAGTTTCCCCAAACTGACTCTCCCTAACCTCACACTCATGAGGACAATTCTACACTTTGATTGCAGGTTCCTCGTATTTGCACCCCACTCAGGACCCAGCCCATGGGAAAACTAGCTGCTTGAATGAAGTTATTTGTCCTTTCTGGGGCTCAGTGTTCCCCACCTAGATATGGATACAAAGAAGATGTTTGCCTGCAGTGGGTGAGCCCTGAGAGCCATGGCTCTGAGCCTCCCACTCTCCCATCCAGACAAGGTGAATTCTCAGGATGCCAGGCTGCTGGCCATAGCTTCCCAGAACAGAGAAGAACCCTGCTTCACCCTAAGAACTTCTCTCAGTCAAAGACCCCATGCACAGGGTGCCTTAACGTAGCCCAGCACTGGGGGGCCTCTCTGCCCACAGACATGCCTCAGCCTTTCAGGTGAAGGTGGTAAACGTCTTGTCTACAAGCCTGGCAACATCTACCAGCCCCTGAGCGGGGCCAGCTGACTCTTGTCCAGCTGGGGACATGGTGTGCCAGGCTCTTCTAAGAACAGGGTCAGCAACAGGCTCCATTCTTCTTCACACCACCATCTACCCCTCCAGGCTCTATTACTCTTGCCAGGCAAGTCGAAGTGGCCTGACCTTGCTAAGTAAGACTCCTAAGGCAGATAGACTCCGCTGCTGGATACGTTCCAAAACAAGCCTTCTAATTTCTTATCTACTGCTGACTCTGAGAGGCAGCAAAGTAGGGATTCCTGGTCCCATTTCACAGATGGGAAGAACTGAACCAATCTACCCTCCTGCCTCAGGATGCTAGAGGAGCCCTAGCAGCCTCAGCCCACTTACCTGAGCCACATCCAACAGGTAGATCTGCAGGAAGAACCCCAGGGCACAGCCCGTCACCTGGTAAGGGGCTCCCCCCACCGCATAGCAAAGCTTGTTGCAAATGGACAACTGTTGTTTCTTCTTTGGCTCCTTCTGGGAAGAAGAGGAAAGGATGAAAAGAGACCCAAGTTCCTGGCCTCCATCCTAGAAGGTTCCAGAGGAAGGACCATCTTTCTGGCCCACTCTGCCAGGAGGAACAAGTCTGCCTTGCCCTGTTCCCACCCAGGGAGATCTCGCTTCCTACAAGAAAAGAAAGGTATTGTCTATCTTAGGAAGCTGGAAAGGGGGAATCCATACCGAGGAAGTTGCCCCTAAACCACCCTACCCCCAGATTCTGAGTTAATTTAGCAGCCCACGGTCCCTAAAAACAAAAAAAAACAAAAAACAAAAAAAAACTTCGCGTAGGGCCTCAACCATGCTCCGTTCAAGTTGGAGAGGGAGCATGCTCCAGCAGCCGACCTGTGGACTTGTCCCCACCAGGCACCACCAACCGCCACAACCTGAAAATCCTCTGGCTGCCAAGAGCCGCCTAAGCCCAGCCCCTGCTCCCGCCTAAGTTCAGAGGCCAGGACCCACCTGCGCCTGGGTGAGGGGCCCAGCCCAGCTGGCTGCGGGCACAGCTGTTCCTTCCATCTGTCCCAGAGCGACCCTGGCCCCTGTAGTCAGCCAGAGCTTCAGGCAGACCTGGGAGCTGTCCTACCCTCTGTCTTGCCCTTCGCCATCCCCAGCTCCTAGGGAACCTTGGAGAAGGCCTCTAGGCACAGGGCTGGGCCCTATCTGGGTGGGGCACTACTAGAGAGATTAAGTTTGCCCAGGAAAGTGAAGATTACTCATAGGTAGTAGAGCATAACTGCTCATTTCCCTCCACCCCACCCCCCACTCTGCTTGTTGCAAGGATCAGTTAATAAAACTAAAGGAAAAACAGTCACCTCCCAGGCAGATATCTATTGCCTGGGATCTCACCCCCCCCCACACCCCCCACCAGCCGCCTGATTCAAAGGGGTCCTTCACTAGGTCCAGAGAGCTGGGGACAGGGTCGAAGGTCAAGTCACGCAAAGCAAGGCGCGCTCGGCGCTCATCAACACCCACACTCACACAACGGCGGAGGCCTCGGAAGTGCTGCTCTTTTAAGAGGAGGGAGCCCTTGTTCTTATGAATGAACTTGAGCGGCCCTCACCGCAGGGTTGAGGCGCCAGCGCGGGCATGTGGGGGTGGAGAGTTGGGGCTGAGAGCTGGGGAATTAAGGGGGGTTTCCCGGATTTCTGGGGTCTCTGGCTTCCAGGGCGGCAAACCTAAGCCGCTCGTCACAGAAGAACAGAAACCGGCTGAACACAGCCAGGCACCACGTAAAGCTGCCGGCGCGGCCGCTCGGCAGAGAGGCGGGGTGGGGATGAGCAAAAGGGGGCGCCGGTGCCTCCAAACCCTCTCCATCACCCCCCGTCCCCAAGGCCGGTACCCCCGGGGCCCTCCCCTGCCGCTGGGCCCGCCTGTCCCCGGCTAGTCCCAGGCGTCCAGAACCAAGCCTCTTCCTCGACGTCCCCATCTCAGCTTGCCCTCAACCCCCCAGCCCTCCGCCCGGGGGGGAAGGGGTCTCACCTTCACCTGGGCGGGCCGTTCAGCGCCTTGGAGGATGCTGGTGGGCAGCAGCCCCGCCGCGGAACCGCTCTCGGAGCCCTCTCCCTTGGCCATGACCCGCGGGCCACGCCGCCTGGGACCGGGAAGCCGGGATGCTCCTCTGCTCCGCGGGGCTCCTCTCTGCCCGGGGTCCCGCCGTGGCCGCCGCCGCCGCCGCCGCCTCCACGGTCGCCTCTCGCTCGTAAACCCGGCGGGCGGGCTAGGCGCACACTCCCCTGCACGCCCCCTCGCGCCTCTTAAAGGCTTGGCCCTGCCCACTCGGATCCAATCGCCGAGCCCGCTGCCCTGCCTGCAGCCAATCTTCTCCCCCGCGGCCGGTCCTCCCGCCTGCCTGAGCCTCCCAGCCTCTCTGCCACTGAGCCACGTTCTCTAAAGCCGGCATCCGGCTGCGCGTGCTCCTCGCAAACCCCGGAGAAGACCGGGAGACCCACCTGACACGCACGAGGAAACTGAAGCCTAAGGCTGGAAGGGACCTGCCCGAGATGCCCCAGAGTGAGTTCCCCCTGAGTCGGGCCCACAGCCCGTGACTTCTGACCCCCACGGCTAGAAACGGTAGGGGCTGGGAAGCCCACTGCGCCCCGCCCCTCTTTAAAATCGCGAGTCAGGTCGAGTCTCCCTGTCCTCCAAACCTGGATGATGTAGCGCTGGCACCCTCCAGTATCGGTGTCCCTCTTTCATCTCCCAAAACCCACCATTCCCTCTTCCCAACACTGGCTCCTCTGGGACCCCGGGCAGTGGGGGACAAAGATGACGTATGGCAGTCGCTGCCCCTGCTGGCAGGGAGCGCCCAAGTTGTGCAGAGGGGAACAAGACCATAGCCACTAGCACACTATGATAGTAACTGTGGCCTTTTATGGAGAGCTTCTTCCGTGCTTAAAATGATTTCATCCAGTCCTCAGGCAACGACATGAGCACGTACTATCATCCCCACTTTATAGTGAGGAAATGGAAACTCAGAGAAGTGAAACAGCTGGTATGTGGCAAAGCCAGGCCTGGCAGGTTTTGTCCCTTTCCAGAGTCTTCTCTCTTAACAGCCCTGCTCTGTCTCTCTCAGCAGAAATTAACAGAACGCTGAACAGGGTATATATGTTTCTCCAACAAAAAGCCCTGGGAGATGTTTTAAAACTGCAGTGGCACTCTGGGTTGACGACAGTCAAGGAAGGATTTGAAAAAGACAGCACTGTATAATCTGGTCCTTGAAAGAAGATGTCTTCAGGAGGACATTCGTCTGGAACAGACGCCAGACTCAGATCCAGAAAACATGCTTTTCTACCACCTCTGGGTCCCTTATGCCAGCATCACCCCCAGGCCCCCTGGACACTCAAGAGGCCAGGTGGGGGCCCGTTTGCTCTAATTAGTGAAGGGGATGCTGGGATCTCAAAGGCCACTTACTCCTGTGCCTGCGATTGCTCAGCCTCCAGCTCCTGTTTTCTTTCTTAGGATCTCTGATTGCAGGGAGGAGAGATGAGGTCTGGCTACCCAGGATGGCCCCACACCAAGCTTCCTCCTGTGCCCCAGCAGCTCCTGTCTTGGCACACAGCTCTCGGTCCCTGCTGAGCAGAGAGAGCCAAAGTGAGGCTGTTGATGCTGTGAAAAGGGCACGGGCTGACCACCCCCCACTTGGTTTCACCAGGAGCTATGTGACACTGTTCTGTCTCTTCCCTTCCCCAGGCTTGAGTTGGCTGTGGTGGCCTCTGATCGCTTCCAGCCCCCTAAAATCTTCTCTCCTGTAGCATCATGCCACATCACAAGTGATTTAGACCCCCGCCCCCAGACCATGAGCTCCAGGAAGTCGGGAATCACATCTTTTTCACTGCTGTGCCCCCACAGACTAGCTGGGACCTGACTCCTAGAAGGAACCTAATAAATATGTGTTCAGTGATGCGTGCTCAGTCTTCTTCCGGTACAAGTACAAGAAGAGCCCATTTGGGAAAGCCTCGGGCTCCTCCATTTACTAACTGAGTGGCTGGTCCTGCGCAGTTAACTCAGTTACCCTCCCTGTATGTAAAGTGACTCCCCGGTAGCGTTCCTTTGGGTATGAAACAAGAAAATGCACAGGAACTGCTTAGCACAAGTACCTGGGAGCTGAAGCTGGACTGGTCCCCCTCTTGGCCTGATTCCAGCCTGTCAGTGTAGCAATGCAAGATTCCAGATATGGCCTGACCACGCCAGCACAATAGACCTATTATTTTCCCCAGTCTGGACGCGACGCACTGTTAATGCAGCCTAAGACTGCCGGGCTCCAGAGCCCTTCTCTCCCATGATTAGTTCCCATCAGGTTGTGATCAACTAAATCATTCAGATCCTTTTCACCAGAGCCGGGGTCAAGTCAGGTCTCTCCCCCACCCTCTGCTTTGTGTGAATGTCTTCGAGCTCACAGAAGGACAATGTCATCTTGCTTATTCCAGCCTGTAGAAATTGTTTTTGAATGCCGTACTGTTGCCCACTGTTTTCTCTCCCTGTCTAAGTTTAGATCCGGGCTGCTCCTTGCAACTTCAACTCCACCATCCATGGCGTTGCTGAGGACAGAGCCCCTGGAATATACCTCCAGAGACACTCATTCACCAGCAACAGAAACAGCACTGCTCATACAGAAGCTCCCAATGATTGAGCACTCATTGTATGCTAGGCAAGCACTGTGCTAAGTGCTTTGGTGTATACCATCTCATTTACTCCTCACAGCACCACTGGCAAGGGTCATTTTTATTACTCCATTTAATAGAGGATGAACCTGAGGCTAATAGAGGGGAAGCAGGGACTAGTTTTATAAACTCAGAGTCAGGCCCCTTTTTCTGGTGATGGGTGTGGTTGTAGACTTGTCACTAAGAGATGTCCTCCAGTCCCCACGTGTCTCCGCTGGCCTTGACAACTGTCCTTCCTACTGCCCCTTTACCCCCACACCACCAGGCCTGGAGTCCAAGGGGGCTGTCCTGAGGCTCCAGTCCACAATGGGCAGAGGGCTCTATTAGCCTGAAAAGCCTGGAGCAGGGGCCTGGGCCCATTCTTCAGAGTAACATTCTTTCCATCTCGGACAGCAGCGAGGACAAGGGCTTCTCCCTAAAGGGTAGACAGATACCTCCCCACTCTGTGCTCTGACGACCCATCCTTGACCTTTTCTGGGTCTAGCTCAAGTTCACAGCCTAGGGCAAATGGACTTCAGAGCTCTCTCCCTGCCCCCCTTGTTGCTCTCCACCTTGCCCAAACCTGGTGGGCTCCTTTGTATGCCCTAGCATAATCCCTGAGAGCCCTTCAGGAAGGCCAGCAGTCCCTAGAGCTTCCTGGGAGGCAGAGCAGCAGAGTTAAGTGCAAAGATCTCAGAAACAGGTTACCTGGCCGCATAGCCTCTCTCTCCCATTACAGTGTACTCTTGGGCAAATTACCAAATCTCTTTGAGCCTCACTTTCCCCACTTGTCAAATGAGGATAATAATTGTACCTATCTTTTGGGTTGGCATGAGGATTAAGTGGGGTGCTTAAAACAATGCTTGGCACAGAGTGAGCACTTTAAAAGGATTATTAGGGGCACCCGGGTGGCTCAGTTGGTTAAGCATCTGGCTCTTGCTTTCGGCTCAGGTCATGATCTCACCGTTTTGTGAGATCAAGCCCTTCACTGGGCTCTGTGCTGGCAGCATGGATCTGCTTGGGATTCTCTCTCTCCCTCCCCTGCTCTTTCTCTCTCAGAATAAATAACCATTAAGAAAAACTAAAAGGATTATTATTGTTATTATCCTTATTAGTACCCTGGGTAAAACCTCACCAAGGTAGGTAGGCTGCTTAAGTCAGAGGGGAGAAAATTTCATGTAAATTGCTAGGGGCTAGATTTAGGTCTGGTTCCACGAGGTGGTATTTCAAGCACAATCGGATGCTGTCGGGTCAGGGCATGCTTATCAGGTGGAGCTCTTGAGGCTTCAGAGCTAAGTGTGATTGCTTCTAGTTTGTTATCCAGTGGAAGGCTTCTTCAGTGCCTAACTGGCAGACTCACCACCGTGACTTCTGAAAAAAAGGCACCAGCCCATACCTTAAAGTATACTTAGCTCAAGAGTCACTAGTAAGTTTACATTCTGGGTGGTGGTGCTCTGAGGCCAGGAAATGGCCAGAGTTAAGGCCTGGGCAGGCCCTGGCGCAAGGGTTTCCTGGAGTAGCTGCTCTGATGGGGATGCCAGAGCCACTCTCCCTGGAGCCTCTATTGTTTGTCCTGTGGGAAGGAGGCAGGACAGAAAGTAGGCAGGAGGGACTCTTGAGGGTCCCAAAGAGAGGCTCTTTGGGGAGGAAGTATCTGAGGGCCCTTGAAGTTACAGGGAGGCTGCTAGTTCCTGCCCGTATGGTGGTTGGGAAATTGTAAGGTAGGAGAATCCCCAAGGCTGATCCATCTGATCACAAGAGGCTATAGACCCCTCCAGGGGGAGGCTCCCTATCATGGGCTTTGGGATGAGGCTAGGTGATAGGTCTGACTTCTGAGCCTCAGGTGTCAGGGGCATGGAGAGTGCCCAGAGATTCCCTGGGATACCTGGTGCCTCCCCTAATCAGCCAGCCACTATCCCTGTATCTTCTTATTCTGGGTTCCCCCAAGTTCAAGTTTCTTCCCAGAAGAGAGAGACATCCCTACCCTCCAGGAAGACTCTGCAGAGGAGTTGTAAGAACGATGCAGGAGAAGAAGCTGAGTAGGCCAGCTTTGGCTCAGAGAGCCACCCCATCTGAAACAGCCCTAGGGATTGGACCAAACTGCCAGGCATCCTCAAGGTCCACAAAATCAGGTGAGGTGCTTTCTGGACAGGAGCTTAGAGTCTGGCCTCAGAAGAAGGGGGAGGGGCGCTTCAGTGGCTCAGTTGGTTAAGCATCTGACTCTTGGTTTCAGCTCAAATTGTAATCTCACAGTTTGGGAGTTGGAGCCCAAAATCGGGCTCTCTGCTGACAGTGTGGAGCCTGTTTGGGATTCTCACTCTCCCCCTCTCTTTCTACCCCTCCTGCATCTCTCTCTCTCTTTCTCTCTCTCTCTTTCTCTCTCTCTCTGTCTCTCTCTCTCTGTCTCTCTCAAAATAAATAAGTAAACTTTGAAAAAAAAAATAAAGAAGAAGAAGGGGTGAGTGGAGGCTGAAGCCTGAACAGTACCCCTCCCTTCCTGGTTGGCCAGGACTCTGCCCTGCTCTCCTTATGCTCACCCCATGTTCCCACGTGGAGGCCCTGCCTCGGCTTGCTGGCCTTGACCCTCTCAGAGTAAGATTTTCAGAGTAAGTGACTTGCTGGACTAAGGCCAGCATGGCAGAAGCAGGGCCTGCCCCGGGAAGCCCTGAGTTCCGCCCCACTTCTAGGCCTCCTTTTACCCATCTGCACAAAAAATCAGGCCGGACAGCCTAGCACCAAGTATTGGCTTCTTTCCCTTTCACTGGCATGTGGAGACCTGGCTTTTGGTGGCCACCTTCAGACTCAGACTTGCAACCCTGTGGTCTCATGCTCATAAGGAACAAGAGAAGAGCATCACTGGGGCCCTTGAAGCATGTGGCCTGGAGTGAGTCTTGTCAGGTTTTGAATATATCTGTTTCTAGCTACGTCTGCGACTTTAGGCAGATCATTTACTTCCCTGAACTTCATTTTTTTGATCAGTAGTAATAGCTCCTAGTGTTTTCCTGAGGATCAGGTGAGATGAGATATAGATGTGCAAATCTAACCTTACAGATGGCTGTTACCATATGTTAATTTCTCTCCTTTGTGCATCCTCTCTGATTGGCAGGATGTCTCTGATGAGGAGGCAGTAGAGGGGCACCTGGCTGGCTCAGTTGGAGTGTGCAACTCTTGGTCTCGGAGTTAGGAGTTCGAGCCCCACATTGGGCATTAGAGATGACTTAAAAGTAAAATCTTTAAAGAAATTTTTTAAAATAAATAATTAGAATAAACTTAAAACATGGGGGCCTTAAACTTTTTTTTTTTTAATTTAGGGACACCTGACTAGCTCAGTTGGTAAAGCATGCAACTCTTGATCTGAGGGTTCTGAGTTCAAGCCCCATGTGTGGCATAGAGTTTACTTAAATTTTTTTTTGTTTTTTTAATAAAATCTACTTGGAAGAGGTATAAAGGTGGCCTTGTCAGTCATTCACTGAGCCTACTCTGGACCCACCCAGCAACACAAAGGTGAGTAAGGTATGGATAATCCTGTCCTTTGAGGGGATCACATTTTTTTAATAGTTTTATTTAATTATTTTGAGAGTGTGAGTGTGTGTGCACATACCTGCATGTGAGAAAAAAGAGACAGAGAGAAGGAAGGGGGAGGGGGAGGAGGAGGTGGAAGAGAGGGAGAGACAGAGAGAGGAGAGAGAGAGAATCTCAAGCAGGCTCTGCAATGTCAGTTGGAACCTGATGCAGGGCTTGAGATCATGACCTAAGCCAAAATCCAGAGTCGGATGCTTAACCCACTAAGCCATCCAGACACCCTTGAGGGAGTCACATCTAATCATGGAAACAAACATAAGCAGACTAAGCTACAAAACGTAGCAAAGGCCTAATGGAGATCTGTCTGAGTCTACAGACTTGAGAATACCAGATTCTGTTTGAGAGATGGAAGTTTGGGAAGGCTTCACAGAGGAGGTGATGATAGAGCCAAACCCTGAACCCAAACCCTGAGTAAGAATTCCTGAGATAGGAAAGGGCAGGTGAACCAAAAGAAACACCACCGATGGAAGAGTGATGGAGCACGGTGGGTGTAGAAACAGTGAGTATCTTGGTGGGAACTGGGCATTTGCTGGATGGGAAATTGATAAGCCCTGAGACTGAGAAGATGGAAAGAGGCCTTGTATCCTCACGCTGAAGACAGTGGGGAGGATTCTAAGCAGAATCCATTATAAGGTTTCTAAGCAAAAGAGTAAAATGACCACATCTGTAATTTATCTTT